ACCCAGTCAGATGGGCAGGGTATAAATAATAAATTTATTATTATTATTGTTGTTGTTGTTGTTATTATTAGTGGCTGGGTAAAAGCATGCTCCTAATTTCGGCCCAATAATGCCTTTCTATCCCCTGATGGAACGTTGGCATTGTGAGGGGCTTTTGGACAAGGCACAGGTTTAGGACATCCTACTAAACCCGTGCTGTTCGGAATCTTCTTAAAACATATGAATAGAGCTCACAAATCAAATGGAATAGATCACCAACAGTCATTATTCACTCTGAAATGAGTGTCTTGGGTCACTAGCAATAGGATTATTATAAACTTTACAAGAATGTTCCAACAGCTAATCCAAAGCTGTGGATGACTACGGGCAGGCGGCGGTGCTGGCACAGCTTCGGATTGGCTGCAGGAAATTCCTGGAGCCAATCCGACGTCTCTGGGCAACACCCCTTCCTTCCTGCTGAGGTGGCCGTGTATGGCCAAGAGCTGTGCGGGAGGAAGCGGTGGTGGTGGGGAGGCTGCCTCCACTGCCCAGGCCAGCAGCATGGGCTCTGCGCCCAATGGACATCTGGCCGAGGCTGCGGCCGACGATGCTGCCGAGGTGGCGTTGGTGGCTGCGGCATGAGTGGCGGCAGGCGGTCCTTTCGGGAGAGGGGGTTCCTTACGGAGATGGTGGGTCCGGTCCCCCACAAGGTCTGGCCACAAGGCCCTCCTGAAAAAGTTTGCTGACCCCTGCATTACATCATACAAGAAATCTAGTGATATATCTGGGCTAGTTTTATTAATGCTTTTCTTCTAAATATAATAACATTTTCAGTATTCTTATTTCTATACTTGCGACTGCAATTTGTTTTAACTGTCTTTAAATCTGAATTTTAAATTCACCCTGGGACCTGCTGTTGAGGGAAAGGTAATAAATTTATCATCATCATTATTAATGATAATAATGTAATCCAGGAAGCATAGTTCTATGGTCTCTGAACGTTCCCATTTACTCAGCTGAAAATACATCCAACCACTAATCAGGAGAACTCAGTTTTATGTTCTATACAAAACTTAGTATTAATAATAATAAATAAAAATATGAAATACGATCACTCTCCAAACATGTGCGTGGACATGTGGGACAGATCATATAAAATACTGAAGTTAGCTTTCTTATTAAATCTTTTATGGCTCTCATAAATGCTTGTTTTCCATGGCACACAATGCCTTCTGACAACTTTGCCACACAAGACCATTTTGTTTTATTCCAGAAACATTTTTTTTTACATTGTTTTAATTTGCTTTAATTACGTACATGCCATGGGAAAGGGTCTATAACATCATTTGAGAGACGGCTAAAGAAGCAGGATAGGTTTGGTCTGGAGGCCAAGGGTAGAAAAGATAAAGGGGGACATGCTTGCCATTTTGGAATATTCAGAAAAATAAATGTTCCCAGTTGAGCTTCAGCGGCTCAGGAAAGAAATTCACCACGTGGAGTGGAGTAGCTATTTTATCTTCCCTTTTCATTAACCAGGTCTCACACAGCATTCATGCTTCTGGTGTTGAACAGAAAATGGTTGTGTGAGCAAGTGAATTCAAGTTGAATCCGAATATCCCTGAAGTAATTACAACTTGGGGAAGAGGAACCTTTATCCCTGATTATTATTATTATTATTATTATCATCAGTTTTTTGTCACTGATGGCAAAGTTCTGCAGTGACAAAGTTCTGCAGCTTAATGGTGCTCCTGAGTCCAAGAGCTGTTCCAGGAATTTCAAGTTGCAAATAGGCCTAGGAATGGTTTACAGTACACCAACGCCATCTGATGAAAAGACTGCAACTCTGCTTTTTCAGGGTTTGCACTTTAACTCTGCCATACATGCAGCCTCAAGATGACTAATATGTTTGGTGTATGATTGCATAGAACTGTAGATCTGGAACACAGGGACCATTCTAGTCCAACCCCCTGCAATGCAGGAATCTTTCACCCAATGTGGGCCTTGAACCCACAACTCTTAGATTAGGAGTCTCATGCTCTACCAACTGAACTATCCCTCAGGGCCTTAGCTAACTGTTGGTGAGGTTCAGATGGATCTTAGCACATTACAAAAATATTGGATCCCTTCAAAGTCTAAAGGTGCCAATTCTAATTCCTAAAATACTTACTGCCTTTAAGATCACATGCTTGTTCCCTTGTTCCCCATCTTCCATAATAATCTTGGTAACTGAGACAACCATCCTGGGTTTACTATCCATGAGCCATCTTTAAACAGCAAGGACATGTTGGCCAAAGCTCAAAAACTGGAACTGTTATTAAGGGCCTCTAAACTTGAGATCAATTGTATCACAAGTTTACCAAGTTTTTGCTGAATATTTTATGTGTGAGTTTAACTTACTGTAGACCACATAGTCACATAATGCAAAAACCACACTATTTTAATAGGAATTTATTTATATTACGGAAGTAGGAAATGGAGAATTCCAACAATCCATCTCTGGCATTCATACAAAGGAGAAATAACTTTATTATGTACTCTTAATTCCACTCTGGTCAAACCCTTCTGCAGTCACACCCTTACTCTATTTCTTACTTTTGTTACTTTTGTTGTAGACTATCCCTTGCTCTGAAAATAAAATGGCAAAGAAAATAAGTTTGCATCATGCCAGTCTGGCAGACTGTGAAGAAAATCAGAAGGAAGTGCATGAAAAAATCTTAGTTTTCCTAAAACCACTTCAAAAAATACAGCAACTGGATTTTCAGAATAATTTTTCACAACATTCCACTTTAAAAAACTGCAGCCTCAGCCTCCTCCCAATCTATTTGTTTTAGTTCGCTCCTTGCCTAATTTAAACAGTATGTGTTTTATAGTTAGCAATCCAGATTGGTAATCCAAGCTCCTTTGGATTTGGTTTGTTCTGTTCTGAGTCATCTTCCAGTTGTTCCATACTTAACAGGGACAGGTCATCACCTGGACAGAAACACTCCATAGCCAGATGAACAAATGACTGTCACTGCAGCCTGAACAGACTCCCTAACAGACTGTGAACTGTAGGTCTTTTCTGCAGAGCATTTACTGGTGGCTCCATAACTCTGGCTCTCACTTTGTCTCCAGCTGTTCCAACAGAAGTAAAACAGTTTCCATTTTATTAAAACAACCTTGCTGATACTAACATGAGTGAAAGGAGAGTGCTTCCCCACTGCCCGCATTCATGCTCCATGCTAACTTTTGTGATTCTTCATACGCCACCACACATACAGGCACACAAAGATATCATTTCCGTTTTCAGTGGAATAATATTTTGGTACCCACCCTGCTTCAGACATGCCTGCACACCCAGTGCACAAATGTGTGGATTCAGCCCAGAAAATTTACGTAATTACCGAAGCAGCCACCAGGTGGGAGGTTTCATTTATGGATAAGAGAACAATTTACTTGGAAATGGTCCACAACAGGAAAAGGTTCCTTCATATGTCATGTTTTATTAGACTGTATATCTGTGAGTACACCCATGTCTTATAATTTTTGTAATATACGTAGAATGATGGTAGCCACAATAAAAGTAACAGACAAGGGGGGAAAACTTGCATCTTAGATGTGAATACGAGCTATCGTCATAACTTCAGGTTTCTGACTTCTGCACTTAGGGGAAAAGTTTAGGGCCAAAAATGAACTCCATGCTGTTCTCATGATCAAGTATGTTACATTATCTGTTGCGAGTTATCCCAACACTGCACATAATTATGACCAGCAGAAGCTGACGGCCAGCGTTGTTGTTCAGAAGACACTATATCAGGCATGATCTTAAAGCCCTAAGCTTAAAACCAAGATGAGTGGGCAATGATAAAACTACAGTAACAGCGAAATTATTGTACACAGTTATCAGAATGAATGATAAAGGTTGTGAAATGGACTGCGCATCTAAAGTGTTATAAATAACAAGTTTGTTTTCAGCTGCGTTGGTGATACTGAAAACACATTTCTAACTTTCTACAAGGAGGAATTATACTATGGGAATACAATATGTCAACAAGTGATTCAATTAGCATATTTTTGATCCTAGGATATGGCCTTTTAAAATACAAGCTTGTGAACTGGATTAATATGGTATGAAACGGTAGAAACAGCCTTTTTAAATTTGCGCTCGGACACATCATGCTATGACAACATTAACAGCTGAAGATGCAGACAATATTGAGCAGTGTAACAATGCAGTGGTTAAGTTCTTTAAGATGTTCTTGCCAAAGTGCTTACTATGGCTTTAAACTCAAATTGGCTTTCTCATTGGACTGAGGTTTCAATGGACATCTTGCGCATTGGCCAATGACTGTCTGAGTGATTGTCTCTTGCAATAAGAATGGGGACTTGCATATGACAACAAACTGGGACAACTTGAGCTTTCATTCATTCCCTTGGAACTTTTGTTTGACTCTCCAGATGAGGCTCTTCTGCTGGCTCAAGGCTCCTGATTCTACCTCTCCCCCAAGCTGTGTTAATAAAAACAGAACTCAAATGATGCTCACTAGTTGCTGGTAGCTTCCACATGAATGGAGTGACAAGAGGCTTTTATGCATTGTATATCCATGCAAATCAGCTGTTATCATAATATTGTGAAGTGGGTAGCTCTCAGTTGCCAAATGCTTAGTTAACAAAGCACAAGTTCTGATTTTAGTTCACTCGTTAACCCACTTCTCTCCTAAACCTCAGCTAAAGACAAAACTTCCAAGCGAAGTTAAATGTCAGATGTTCCAGGAGGAAGGTACCTGTGCTAAGTCTGCAACAGCACATGCAGACAGACAGGCACTTTTAAATGCAAGCAGACCTATTTCATCAGACACCCTAGTCCACAAAAGCTTGTGCCACAATAACTCCGTTTGTATTTGTCATACTTGTGCAAGAGAGATTTTAGAAGAGGCATCTTGCGAGGTAAGACAGGCGCAGACACTCACCAATTTCAGTTTTCAAGGGTTATTGAAATTGACACCCACCCTCTAAAAAAAACCCTAGCGCCAACGTCTTACCTTCCCGTGATGAATTGACTCCTGGACGGGGTGCACATGGGCTGGACGTAGTAGTTCTCCAGCTTCACCCCTTCCGCCGCCAACTTATCCAAGGTGGGCGTCCTGATCTCCGAGCCATGGTAGCCCACGTCCCTGAACCCCTGGTCGTCCGCCAGGATGAAGATGAGGTGTGGCGGAGTAGGGGCGGGCTCCGCTTCGGGTCCTTCTTCCAACTTGGCCGTCGCGCCCGCGCTCTCGGGGTCGCCAGCCGCGTCCCAAGCCAGATAGCCGTAGGTGAGCAGGCTGAGCACGGAGAAACCGGCCAGCAAACCCCCGGCTAGCATTTTCCCTCGGCTGAGCCGGGCCAAGAGCTGCACGCCCCCTCCCCGCCTCTCCCGGGGGGAGGCAAAGGGCCACGAAGAGGCAAGCCGTCAAGGGGTCCCTCCGCGGCAGCAGCGGCGGCGGCAGGGCGAGCCCATGCTGACAGACGAGGTCGAGCGCAGCGCCCTCTGAGGGGAGAGCGGCCGTCGGGGCAGCCTTAGGCGTCTCCAAGCATCCCCAGGTGGCCGGGCAGCCTCCAGCCAGCGACGCCGACCGCTGCCCGCTACTCCATCCTAACCCTAAAAGAGGCACGGCCCCCGTCTAGGCGAGCGGGCACAGGCGGCGCCAACGCTGCTGCCGGGAGGGAGGCGCGGGGCGCTCCATCTGCAGCGTCTCCCCGAAAAAGGCGCCCGCTTTCCTGGTGGGCGCGAAGGGGCGAGCCCACAGGACGCCGTCCTTCCCTTGCTGCAGGAGCGCCGGCGAGCAACTCTCGCTCCGCTCCCTTTCCCTCCTGCCGCCTCCCTCGCCCCCACCCATCCCGGGCGAGCAAAGCCAAACAAAACGCCGGCCCGCCTCAGCCCAGGCGCACGCGCGCGCGCCTCCCGCTGGAATTGACCGGCGAGGAAGGCGCTGGGCCAGCCCCGAGGGGAGGGCGAGCTGAATGGGCTCTCCCGGGTTCCCACAGCTGTCTTGCTTAGGAGAAGGGAGAGTTTAGCCCCAGGCTTCAGCCTTGGAGCGTACCAAGTAATAAAGGGTGCCTCTGAGAAAGTACAGAATGCACCCCGCCCTCTTGTCGCTGTATTTCCTTCCAAGACGGATCTGAGGACTTTCAGGTCACAGGTGGACACTTCTGAGCAGGCCTGAAATAAATTCAGTACCGAAACCAGAAATAAAGTTCTGGAATCTGTCGTGATCCTGTAATAAAAGGTGTGGCTTCCACAGAGTCCTTCCAGAAGTCGGAAAAATCCTTATTCAGTCCTGAAAGTTTAAAGAATCCTGTTTTGTTTTGTTTTTTGCATATGGCCACCCTGAAGGGAAAAATAGATATATGTCGGAATACCATATGCACGCTGGAAGAATAGCTGCAAAACAATCATTTAAACCAGTGGGGATGGAACCACAAGACAGCAGGAGACTGTGTGTAGGAGAGCATATAAAACTGCAAAATAAAAGGAAGCCATATTTATTATGGGGTGTGCTAGTGGTGGAGAGAATAAGATGAGCTAGAGGAATCCAAAAAATAAAATGATAGCACATGGGAATGCATCTATCATAAACAAACACAATAATGAAGGATTAAATTTACAGAAGTCCAAAAATTGGGCAATTCACTAAGCACTGTACAGTCAGGTAAAACCATTGTAATTGACCATAACATCAGCTGAAAGATAAAAGAAATGGCTAAGTGCTGGAAGTTTAATACTCTCAGCTAAGAGGGAGTTTCACAGAATTGGGACCACAACTGAACACACAGCTCCTGGTGGATATCAGCTGTCCATCCAAGCCATAGAAACCACAGACAGTGATTCCCACGCCTCCCAGACTTCAGTGATTGGGCAGAAATATGAGGAATCAAGTGGTCCTTAAGGTATTCAGGATAGGTGTTGTTAAGGGCCTTGTAGAGAACCTGACCTGGTAGCATGTGGGCAGCCAGAGCAAGCTTTTAAGTATCAGTTACCGTATTGGCCCGAATATAAGCCGCACCCACAATTAAGCCGCACTTTTAAAATTCAAGGGGAGAAAGAAAAAAAGACAATACCCAAATATAAGCTGCTCCCTTAAAACTGGGTTATGGGCTGAAAATCGCTGCGGTTGGTAGAATTGTAACTGAGCCAATTTAAGCCTTTGATCTTGAAAGCCCACAAAAGTTACCGTACAATCGCAAATCGCTATTCAATTGCTACAATTCTGCAGGCACTCACGCCCATAAATGGCAAATGTAGAAGAAAATCCTACAGGTTAATTGCACAACAGTCTCAAGCTCACAAATCTGCAATAAAACATTTTTTTCCGTTTCATTTTACCGTATGTCTGTTTCAGCAGCGATATCGTAAAAGCCAATTTTTGTAATCCACTGAGCCTCTTGTGCTTGCCAATCAGAAGGTCGGTGGTTCAAATCCCCATGATGGGGTGAGCTCCCGTTGCTCTGTCCCAGCTCCTGCCAACCTAGCAGTTCGAAAGCATACCAGTACAAGTACATAAATAGGTTTCTATGCAGCGGTTTCTATGCGCTCTGGTTTCTGTCACGATGTTCCATTGCGCCAGAAGTGGTTTCATCATGCTGGTCACATGACCCGGAAAGCTATCTGTGGGCAAACGCCGGCTCCCTCGGCCTGAAAGCGAAATGAGCGCCACAACCCCCTAGTCTCCCTTGACTGGACTTAACCGTCCAGGGGTCCTTTACCTTTTTACCTGTGCTGTAAAGTGTGCAGGCAATGTATTGGTTGGGTCACTTTGGGGTGGCCAGCTCTCAAGAGACTGCGATCTACCTTCAGAATTAAAAACTGGCAGTGACCTACCCCCTGTTTGGGGGGGGGTTCAGCTCAAAGTTGTTGAGCTTTCTTAGGGGGGAGGAAAGCCCCATTTTGGGGGGTTTAAAAAAAGCTTGTTTTGGGGGGAAGATCCGTTTGGGGGGGGTTAAAGGCAAGGGACAAAGGGGTAAAGTCACTCACAAAAAGGTCACAATGGATCAAAACAGCAGCACATAGAAAGCTGTTTTCCCTTCCAGAGACCATACAACAATGTAGGGCGGGGCGAGGTGTGTGGCAGGAGTCAGTTTTAGCTACGACATCCTGGAAAGTGAAGTCAAATGGGCCTTAGAAAGCATCGCTAATAACAAGGCCAGTGGAAGTGATGATATTCCAGCTGAATTATTTAAAATTTTAAAAGATGATGCTGTTAAGGTGCTACACTCAATATGCCAGCAAATTTGGAAAACTCAGCAGTGGCCAGAAGATTGGAGAAGATCAGTCTACATCCCAATCCCAAAGAAGGGAAGTGCCAAAGAATGCTCCAACTACCGCACAATTGCACTTATTTCACACGCTAGCAAGGTTATGCTTAAAATTCTACAAGGCAGGCTTAAGCAGTATGTGGACCGAGAACTCCCAGAAGTGCAAGCTGGATTTAGAAGAGGCAGAGGAACCAGAGACCAAATTGCAAACATGCGCTGGATTATAGAGAAAGCTAGAGAGTTCCAGAAAGACATCTACTTCTGCTTCATTGACTATGCAAAAGCCTTTGACTGTGTCGACCACAGCAAACTATGGCAAGTTCTTAAAGAAATGGGAGTGCCTGATCACCTCATCTGTCTCCTGAGAAATCTCTATGTGGGACAAGAAGCTACAGTTAGAACTGGATATGGAACAACTGATTGGTTCAAAATTGGGAAAGGAGTACGACAAGGCTGTATATTGTCCCCCTGCTTATTTAACTTATATGCAGAATTCATCATGCGAAAGGCTGGGCTGGATGAATCCCAAGCCGGAATTAAGATCGCCGGAAGAAATATCAACAACCTCAGATATGCAGATGACACAACCTTGATGGCAGAAAGTGAGGAGGAATTAAAGAACCTTTTAATGAGGGTGAAAGAGGAGAGCGCAAAATATGGTCTGAAGCTCAACATCAAAAAAACGAAGATCATGGCCACTGGTCCCATCACCTCCTGGCAAATAGAAGGGGAAGAAATGGAGGCAGTGAGAGATTTTATTTTCTTGGGCTCCATGATCACTGCAGATGGTGACAGCAGCCACGAAATTAAAAGACGCCTGCTCCTTGGGAGAAAGGCGATGGCAAATCTAGACAACATCTTAAAAAGTAGAGCCATCACCTTACCAACAAAGGTCCGTATAGTTAAAGCCATGGTTTTCCCAGTAGTGATGTATGGAAGTGAGAACTGGACCACAAAGAAGGCTGATCGCCGAAGAATTGATGCTTTTGAATTATGGTGCTGGAGGAGACTCTTGAGAGTCCCATGGACTGCAAGAAGATCAAACGCATCCATTCTTAAGGAAATCAGACCTGAGTGCTCACTGGAAGGACAGATCGTGAAGTTGAGGCTCCAATACTTTGGCCACCTCATGAGAAGAGAAGACTCCCTGGAAAAGACCCTGATGTTGGGAAAGATGGAGGGCACAAGGAGAAGGGGACGACAGAGGATGAGATGGTTGGATAGTGTTCTCGAAGCTACAAACATGAGTCTAACCAAACTGCGGGAGGCGGTGGAAGACAGGAGTGCCTGGCGTGCTCTGGTCCATGGGGTCACGAAGAGTCGGACACGACTAAACGACTAAACAACAACAACAACAACAACAAAGGAATGGGAGCCAGAGATCGAGCGCGATCTACTAAAACCTTGTGGGGATATACCAGTAGATCGCGACCAACCTGTTGGACATACCTGGTATAGATATTCAGTGCTCAAGAAAACCTTTGGTTTAAGACAGTGGTGGCCAAACTAGCTAACAGGACCAGTGGTCAGGGGAGATGGGAATTATAGTCCCAAAACAGCTGAAGGGCCAAGTTTGGCCACCACTGGTTTAAGATCAGATTTAAGGTGATCTCATGTTGCCTCCCCAAGCCAAGGGAGTCATTCAGTTTGTTCATCACCATTCTTTCCTTGTGCTTCTGCTGTATCACCCTTTTGACTCTATAGTTGCATAGCTCTATATCCAATGCATCCTGCTGACATTCCAAACAACTGAATCACCACTGATGTCCCTTCCCCTTCTACATGTAGATATTCACATGATTTTACAAGCCTTTTAACGCCTCTTGTCCATTGTTTTCAGAAATCACCCTTCCTTGATTTATGAGTAGGATGGGCGAATCTGTCAATTTTGGTTTCTCTTATTTCTCCTTTTTACAATCTCAAGTTCAGTTCTTCACATTTCCATATCAGCTTGTGATTTTTTTTAAGTCCTCATGAAAATTCATCCATGATTTTCTCCTAATATACAGAGTTTCGTATAATTTTTGCCTAATATACACATTTCTGTAAAGCAATAGTTCCTAATTTAATGCATTTTTGTATATAATTTTCACAAATATATGCATTTTTATGCACACTGTACCCTAGTATATGCATTTTTTGTACAAATTATTTGGCTTGGGACCTGCATTGCAAAACTTGGGCAAATACAAATTTTGAAGGATGGCTGTGTTTTGCTTCATCTATTTTTTGGGGAAGCATGAATTACGGTAGGTAGCTTCACCTTTAAATGTGAATTGCATTATATTTCTTCCCCACCCCAACTTATGAAATATATACTTATTTCCAAGGGAAACATGCATAGGATTGTGCTCCACATATGTCTGCAATTTTTAAAAAGCCCCCCCCCCCGTTATTCTTAATTTAGTTGGCCATGCCCATGTTCCAAGCCATAGAGTTACAATTTATTTTATCTCCATAGCCATGCCCTTACAAACATGGTGTTATTTTTCTTTAGTTTACTTAGTACACATTGCTGGTGCCATGTCTCTTGACAGGCCATTTTAGCATCTCTTTGTAGAGGTTTCTTTCATTGCAAAAATATTGTTTGCAGTATTTCAAATACCACCACAAAACCTGG